GCCCATGGTGGGGGACTGCAGGGTCCACAGTCCTTTGATGCCTCAGAGAAGATACTTTCCAACAGCTCATCATCTGGGACATCCTGCCTGAGATCATCATCATTTTAAACTTATATATCAACACCATCTGAGATCAAATCTACTACTGCTGTCAGCGATAATCTTGTTAAAATGATGAATGAACGCCATAACTGCATTAACGCGGAAAATCTCTGATAACGAGTTACCGCGGATCGCCCGTGAGTGGGGCTGAACAGCGTCAAAGCGTTAGCACAGTTAGCTCGTTAATGCGTTAGCACCATCCAGCGGGGCGATCTGCGGTAACTCGTTAATGGAGATTTTCCACGTTAATGCAGTTATGGCATTAATGTCATTTTAATGAGATTAACACTGACAGCACTAAAATCTACACATTACCACATGAAGCAACAGGAACACAGCGTATGTGCCTACATTGATTTACACTTGCTGCAGTAAAGCTTGAGCGCCTCATGCAGTCTGCGGGGTTCATAGGCCTTCAGCTGGGCCCTGACATGGTGAACTCGACCCAGGCCACTCCGCTTAACTTCACATAGTGTCACCTTCTGCATGTCATGGCCACAGCTTCTCTCTGAACACAAAAACCAACCCACAGAGGAAAAATGTTCATCATTAAACACTTGGTAGTAAATAGTAAATAGAATGGATAACAATTATTAAAATGGTAAATAAATATAAAACCACATAAGAAATTATACACAGATGTAATTTTTTAAAATAAATTAAGGATTTACTTTAAAAAAATGATCATATGCACTGAGTCATTCTTTGAGGGTTTTTATTTAGACAGGATTGGTCCTAATTTACTGCTTTATATTCATTATAATACATTACCTGCACTTCCAAATCCAACCAATTAGCAATTACCAATGCAGTGCTGAATTTCATACCTGTACTGCAATCCACTGTTTCACCATCTACAACACAGAACAAATCGAAGCATCAAAGACGGAACGAAACACAAGAAGGCAAATAAATAAGCATTAAGTTGGACAGGCTTAAATATAGCACACAACAGCAAGCTCGCTATCCTGAATTAAACATCTCCTTGGTACTGAACAACAGTTTGTAAAGCAATATCTGAAGAACTACATAGAAGTAAATTCAACACTACATTTTTAGTTATAAATTTCTTTAGCAGTTCAGTACAGATAAAACGTAAACACTATACAAGCATTACACAAACAGAAGCTTTCAAAGGACAAAAGTAAATTCATTTGGGTTTTAAAACTAAACTTCTTTTACTTCTTTTGCCCCAACTGTACTTTATAAAAAAAAAAAAAAACTATACCACTGTTACTATGTCATGAATAGGGATGGGTACCGGTATCCAGTGCCATGATGGCACCGGTTCTGA